ACTAGTAATTTGGTGGATTCTTTAGGGTTTTCTATGTACAATATTATGTCATCTGCAAATAGTGACAGCTTTACTTCCTCCTTTCCAGTTTGCATACCTATTATGTTTTCTTCTTGTCCGATGGCTGTGGCAAGGACTTCCAGTACTATGTTGAATAAGAATGGTGAAAGTGGGCATCCTGTGTTCTTCCTGTTTTTAAGGGAAATGGTTTTAGTTTTTGCCCATTGGGTATTATGTTGGCTGTAAGTTTGTCATATACGGGCTTTATTATATTGAAGTATGATCCCTCTAGTGCCACTTTGCTGAGAGTTTTTTTTTTATCAGCAATTGGTGCAGGATTTTGTCAAATGCTTTTTCTGCATATATTGATATGATCATATGATTTTTGTCCTTCATTTTTTTTATGTGATGTATCATATTTATTGATTTGCGGATGTTGTACCAGCCTTGCATTCCAGGTAATAAATTCCACTTGGTCATGGTGTATGATCTTTTTAATGTATTGCTGGATCCAGTTTGCTAGTATTTTAGTGAGGATTTTAGCATCTATATTCATCAAGGATATTGGCCTGTAATTTTCTTTCTTTGTAGTGTCTTATCTGGTTTTGGGATTAGGATGATGCTGGCCTCATAAAAAGAGTTTGGGAGTATGCCCTCCTCTGGAATTCTCTGGAATAGTTTGAAGAGAATAGGTGTTAATTCTTCTTTGAATGTTTGGTAAAACTCGCCTCTAAATCCACCTGGTCTAGGACTTTTGTTTGCTCAGAGTTTTTTGATTAATGCTTCAATTTCATTAGTTGTTATCGGCCTATTCAGGTTTTCTCCCTCTTCTTGATTAATATCTGGAAGGTTGTATGCTTCTAAGAATTTGTCCATTTCACCCATGTTGTCCAGTTTGTTGGCATATAGTTGTTCATAGTATTTTCTTACAATCCTTTGTATTTCTATTGGGTTAGTTGTTATATCACCTTTTTTATTTCTGATTTTACTTATTTGGGTCCTCTCTCTTTGTTTCTTAGTGAATCTGGCTAAAGGTGCTTCAATCATATGTATCTTTTCAAAGAACCAGCTCTTGGTTTCATTGATTTTTTTGTATTGTTTTTTTAGTCTCTATGTCATTAATTTCTGCTCTGATCTTTATCATTTCCTTCCTTCTACTTCCTCGGGGCTTTTCTTGTGTTCTCGTTCCAGTTCTTTTAGTTGTTGTATTAGATGGTTCATTAGACCTTTTGTTGTTTCTTGAGATCGGCCTGTAATGCTATGAATTTTCTTATCAGGACTGCTTTCGCTGTGTCCCACAGATTTTGGGTTGTTGTTTAGTCATTTTCATTTTTTCCCATGAAGTGTTTGATTTCTTCCTTGATCTCATTGTTAGCCCATTCAGTGTTTAATAGCATGCTATTTAGCTTCCTTGTGTTTGACTATTTTTGAGTTTTTTTATAGTGATTGATTTCTAGCTTCATAGCATTTTGATCCTAGAAGATGCTTGATATTATTTCCATCTTCTTGTATTTGTAGAGACTTGCATTGTGCTCTAACATGTGATCTATTTTTGAGAATGTTCCACGTTCACTTGAGAAGAATGTGTATTCTGTTCCTTTGGGATGAAATGTTCTGTAAATGTCAATTAAATCCATTAAGCCTTGTGAGTCATTTAAGGTCTGTGTTTCCCTGTTGATTTTTTGCCTTGATGATCTGTCCAGTGCTGACAGTGGGGTGTTAAACTGCTCCCCCTATGATTGTGTTGCTGTCAATCTCCCCCTTAAAGTCCACTAAGAAATTTTTTATATATTTAGGTGCTCCTATATCGGGTGCATAAATGTTTATAAGGGTTATTTCTTCCTGTTGGATTGACCCCTTTACTATTATGTAGTTACCATCTTTGTCCCTTGTTATGGTCTTTATTTTGAAGTCAGTTTTGTCAGAAATAAGAATCGCTACCCTAGCTTTCTTTTCCTTTCCATTTGCATGGGATATTTTAGTCCATACTTTCACTTTTAGCCTGTGTGAGTCTTTTGCTCTCAGGTGGGTCTCTTGTAGACAGCATATATTTGAGTCCTGTTTTCTTATCCATTCAGCTATGCTGTGTCTCTTGATTGCACTTTTTATTCTATTTACATTTAAGGTTACTATTGATATAAACTTATTTAATGTCATTTTCCCCCTTTTTGCTGATATACTTTTCTCTCACTATTCTTTCTTTTTCTTAGAGCAAGGAGGGAGTGCAATAAGAGATTTGGGGAACCTATAGAGAAAAGCAGTTAACTTGTTGGTCATAATGATAAAGTCCAAGCCATTAAGCTGGAATATCAGGAAAATTTTGATATTAGAGGCAAGGATAAAACAAAACAAAGCAAAGAAACAAAACAAAACAGAAAAAAAAAAAAAAA